CTGATAAAAATGATTATTGTTTCTGTTCCCTTAATTACAATTTGCCAAATGCGGCTCCAGTGGCCGTGACATTTGATGGCAATGACGCTCCTAAATTCAAAGTGCGATTAACAGTCAGAAAACAACAAACCATTGCAGACAGAAAAATGTGGAAAATGGAAATAAACTATTTGAAATTATGCCTTTGTCTATAAAATGCATAGTATGTAAGTCATATGCTGTAGTAAGTGAAGGTTAATGAAAACAAAACAAAAAAAACTATGCTAACATTTAGCATGTCGTTCAGCTCAAAGTTGAGGGCTGGAATCTGAAGTGAAAACAAATACAAATACACATTGTGCGCTCGATCATTTGACATATTAGGGCCATCTTTATGTTGATGGAGCCATGACAGTAAATAAGTGGTGGCCACTTCAAACAACATCACTGAATTGAGAAACAGTGGGTTCTATTGATGTTGAAAGCTTAAAAGGAACGATGCCATATTAAATGTAAACAATTATATCTGAAATCCAATTAAAATCCAGTTAAGACATAACCTTCCCTTTATGTCTTAACTGTATTATAATTTAGCTCGTTTTCAACTGCTTTTCACTTACAATTTTTTTTTACAAGTACTTTCGCATCCCTACAAGGAAAGCAGACTGATTAAATACGACTGCGGAGCTACAGTATGAATTGAGTCATTCTATAAGAGTTTGCATGACATCTCCACCTAATTTGAGCCTCAGGCATTAAGGGGCCAACAAATAAAAAAAGAATAGATGCCTTTCTCACAGACTCAAAAAGAACAGGAAAGGCTGTGTGAGCTCAGAGACGATTGAGCGCCGCTGAGACGGAGGAATATCGGACGCTTGTTTCATCAAGTCGTTGACCGATGCAATAAAGAGACCTCGCAGACGTCATCAGGGGTGAACCCAATATCCTGTTTGAAGGTACCGTCTGTCTTGTTGGTTGAAACATCATCTATGGATCAGTGATTTAAAGTTCAACAGTGACGGAATCAGATGTGCAGTGACGTCTCATTGGTCATTACACTGTACAGTGAGTCACGGCTTCACTGATCCATTTAAACACCTCAGTATAGGGAATTAAGTGGAATGTTAAACTTCTATTCTCGCCGTACCGTGGTCATATTTTAAATGTTCATTGCAATTTTAATTTCACATCACTGTGGCTCTTTGCATTTTGGGCTTCGTCCAAAGTAAAATACTAGTAAGAAGTAAGTAAGGTGCAGGAATTTCAGCAGCGTTACAAGTGATACAGTGACACACTGTGAATGTACCAGATGAGTCTGCAGATAGCAACACACACACACACACACACACACACACACACACACACACACACACACACACACACACACACACACGTCTAAAGAGCAGCTGCTACTACCGACTTTCCACTCAGATACTTTTGTTTGTGACCACGCGTTACAGGTGCGCGGTAGATTAGATGAATCATTGATGACCGGGAATCGGTGTCTGTGTGGTAGAGCCTGAGAGAAAGGGACAGGAGAGCACGTGCCAGCCAGGGCCCAGCTGGTCGCGAGCCATTTAGGACGGGTTACGCAACAGCTTTGTGGCTGCTGCAATACTTGATTTTACACACAAACACCTACACACTAATTCCCATCCGCACGCACAACACACCAAGCGCACAGACACTCACTGTAACACAATCCTACTCTTTTGTTTGGCACCAAATCACGATCCTACCCAACCAGATGCACTCATATTGACAGTGTGTGTGTGTGTGTGTGTGTTTAAGGTCATCGGGTTTTAGCGGTTTTCCCAACGACCCCCAAAAAAGAACGAAAGAATTAATACCAGAACACCACAGCGTTGAGAGGGCTGCTGCAGTAGTATCCTGCAGAGCCCAACGTGATCAGACTCCTATGCATTCAACCGCCTTGTTTTGCTCTATTTCTCTCCCTCTCTCTCTCTCTCTCTCATCCCGAAATACTTACTGCCTGACCAGATTATTTGTGACTTTTTCAATTTGGTTACACATCCATAAATTTGGTGAGATGTGCGTTTGTCATGTTTCGTTGTCCGACTATCCAGAGAATAAATCAAAGCAGCGAGACGGAGATACTGCACACACCTTTCAATTGTAGATGTAGATGATTGGTTGGCTACATTCTTAAAGTAAAGTAATATTAGTTATTTTTTGATTCTGATGGAGGCCAAAAGCAAAACACGTCAGTCTGAGAAAGTTGATCACTGTGGGAGAAGAGACTATTAAGACTGCCTTCGCCGCCAGAAAACCTGCCTGTAACATCAAGACACATCTGGAAGTAGATATTCTTGTCTATATATTTGCTAGTTGAGTTTGTGACTTAATTTAAAGATTTTTTTTTCTGAACTCAATTATTCCTTATGATCAGAATTATTGAGACAAACTATCTGCTCGACACCATTTTAGGAGGCGTTGATATGAATTCCTGACTCTTCATTACCTCGTCGCAGAGCGATACCTGGCCTCGCATCAGAGAAACCACCTGTTGGAAGACCTGCTCATGCATATTAATTCAATATCAGTCACCTTTTTATAATGCAAATTGTTTATTATAATGCCACCACTCCGAGGCTTCATTACATCCTTCAACTTGTGTCAGTGGATTGATAAGAAGAGCGTTGGACTTGGTTACTGTTTAACCACACTGTGTCCCAACAGGGTAGCAGGCCAGAATAGTGAAGACTACCTGAGAACAGAGACCCATCTCTCTCGGGCAGAGAGGGGGGGATGGGGGGGGATAAATTGAAATGCCTGGCACCGGCCTAGAGGCTCAGTCTTGTTTTTTCGATCGCTCGTCGGCTGCAGTCTCACGCTTCACTCGCACACTGTGCACGTCTGCAAAGTAAGGAGGGCTGCAAAACTTTGGAGGCTCCAACACAGAGCCATCTGTAAGCTGTCTGGTACAGCTCGCCAGAAAAATATGAATTAGGGGTCAAATCAAATGTGTTTGTCTACATGTTCCTTGAATGAGAAACCCAATCCCTGTGGCTTTGGTGTGTCATCTTAAATAAAAGTGCATTGCCTCCCTTTGCACACCTTGCAAACACAAAACTAAAGAACTCCACCATGACTTGAGCCCTGGTGTTTTTGATGATACTGCGGTGGAATACACTTAAAAAAAAAAATAGGTGCATAAAGCTGCAAACTGCATTGCAAGAGGTACCGTTTCCTGTATGACGGTTTCCTGCGCGAGCACAGTACGCGCGTTTGGTCTACTGACCGTAATCATCTGGGCCACGTAGCTCTCCGGGCCGGTGTATTCGGTCGGATCCTTCACCTTCACCAGAACCAGGAAGTAGAGGTAATGCCACATGTTGTGTTCAGACTTGATGTGTTCCTCGAAGGAGACCGTCTTGTTGTCAAATTTGTCCCTCTCCAACCCTGCAAGAGCACCAGTTAATGGTCTTCTAAATATACTGTTCTTTCAACGAGCCGTCATTTGCATACAGCATTGAGTGAACCACACAGTCGTACACACCACAGATGAAACAGGTGGTTTTCAGGATCTCCTCCTTCCTTTGTTTTTCACTTCTCAAGTCAGCGAAAGTGTCGATGATAACACCAAAGATGAGGTTAAGAACGATGATGATGACGATGAAGAAGAACAGAAGGTCGTAAACCACTCGGGCCGCAAACAGCGGCTCCTGTAATGCCCCGGGTCACAGGTAAGAGAGAAGTTAACTTATGCCATCACTACAGTTAAAAACAGAAGCTACAGCAGCAGAAATTACATGCATTTATACTTCAAGTCATTACAAATAGAAAAAGAGAACACAACCCTGACTTACCGCTTTGGAGGGTCTCCGGAGAATGTCTCCCACACCACCTCCGTTACGTAGTCCCTGGTTCAACACCGTGATAATGCACATGAGCAGGGTGTCACACACTCGCTCTGTCCCATCGTCTACAAGACGCACAAATCAAATTGGAAACGCATAAAACAGCAGACAACAAGGACAAATATTGGCATCTATCTAGTATCTACATTTGGGTTATGAAATCACATGTTTTACAGTAGCTTTTCCTTTTCATCACTTTGTTTTCCACATTTTAATAAGGTAATGGATTAACTTAATTTAAATAAAACTCACAACCAGAACATCTGAATTAAGTCAAATCATGCATCTGAATTCAACCAAGCTGAACAAAATTAAATTTCAACCAAGAGTCTGAAGGATTTCAGGAACACTCAGAATTAAATAATCAGTTTCAGCTGATAATATATCAAGGCGCCTCTAAAGATCAAGTGTAAACCTTAAATTTGCCTCCTTAAATGTGAGAACAAAACCAGAAGGAATACTATTCATATCTCATGTGTAAGGTACATATACTGTGAATAGATGACGCAGAAGGAGGCGGCGAAGGATGTGGATGAGATCATGTGTTGGTCCCTGTGGTGCAGGTGATCGAGGGAGATGAACAGACACAAAGAGCAGAGTGAGTCACCCGTCTGCCTTATCAAGTGTCCTTGTGCACACCCAGTGCGTGTGCGTGTGTGTGTGTGCGCGCGCGCCACCAAATGACTGACTGAAAGGTGAAATATACTCATCTGCCTCACTGCAAAATCTTAACACTTTCCACCCAGAGATTTTTAAAAGAAAAGCATTTTAATCAAAACTTACCAGGAACATTCTTAGGTGTTGAAACAGGACATTTATCTTTCAAACATGATTCAGCAATTCCTTTGTTACTCAATAGATCCTCTTTTCCTTCAAAAAGAAAAAGAAAATAGAAAGGGGAAATTATGCAAGATTGATTAATGATAAAGACATTGATAATTTGAAGTTACATTGTGTGCGAACATTAAAACGCCTTCCCCGCTCATTCTCATCAGCATGGTTAAAGCCAGCGAGAGAGATTTAGTCAGACGTTATGTAAACTGAGGCAGCAGCTGCTGGGTGGGCGGTGAAGTGCTGCTGAAAGAACCTGAACAAATCATTTGCACATCGGTAAAGCCCTGAGCGGCAGCGGAGCTGCGCTTGAGTGTGATTGGCTCCGGCAGACAGGCAGAAGACGACCTGTTCACCGGGGCCAGAGTGTCTCCGAAAGGGCGTCTGTCCCTGACGGGCTGCAGGACAGAGGGCAGGGCCGAGAGACGAGAGGCACGGGAAGAAGAAGAAAGAGCGGAGGGGACAGCGGGGCGGCCCACAGCCGGCACGCTCCTCGGCTCTGACGGAGCTCCGCTTGTGCCTCGGCAAACAGACAGATCGGCGTGAACCAAGCTGGTTACGTAAACCCACCACTGCTCCGCTGGGTCTGCAGCGCTCTGCTCAGGGAGGCACAGGGTGGCCTTGCCACCAGGTTACGCAACAGGTGCGCATGTGCTGGCAGGTTACTAACCCATAGCCTTAACCTTATTCTACTAACCCATTGCATTAGCATTTCATTCCACTTTATTTTATTACTTGTGCACTGCTGTCTTGTCTGTCTACTGTCGCGCACTAACCGCCAAGACAAATTCCTTGTATGTTTGACATATTTGGCTAATAAATGTTTCCTGATTCCTGAGGTTGTTGCTCACTCTCGGAGCGCCGTACGGACACTGAATATTTTCATTTTTATGCGCACACACACACACACACACACACACACACACGTCAAGCTGAAGGTGAGGCTTCATTTAGCCAGCATCTCTAATTCTCACACAATCGCAACTAGGACCACGGTGTGTAGGGCAGCGCATCATACACACACACACACACACACACACACACAAACACATGGCAACACATACACACACTCAAACACACACATGGACACACACACACACACAATGTCTTCGCTAAAGTAGGTTAGCAATAATTAATGCCGTACAGACCCACCAGGGAACATGTGGCAGATGACATCCAACAGATGTTTATACCTGGAATCAGCCAGGGAATTTCAATTCAATGTGCAGTGTCTTCGAGCACTGGGACACCTTGCAATTAATGAACTCACATTTTGCCAAGACGGGAGTCTCCTCGTTCTACTTTAGGCTCATCCATTAAAACAACGCATGCGTTTACACAGGTTAAGAAGTGCTGACCTGGTCCCGGAAGGCGATCCACCTGCATTCGGAAGTCGTCCTTGAGGAAGAGGAAGCCAATGATGGAGAAGAAGTAAACGAGGAAGATGGCCAGAACTGCGGTAAGAATGATGGAGCGGCCGTTTCTCGTCACGCTCTTTATCACGTTGAGCAGCGTCTCCTCTCGGATGACCAGGTCAAACAACTGTGCAGCGAGAGCAACATCAGTGAGTCATCAGCACTGTAAAAGGAACCAACGTGTGTGAGATATTGCTTACCAAAAAGCTGTAGAAGAACTCGTGCACAAAGAGGCCCAGGACGCAGACGATGGCGTAGCCCAAATGGTAAATAAAGAGCATGTCCATAATAACGGCTTTGTAGCCTCGGGTGAACGTCCCCTGGTTTCCCACAAAACTTACAAGGAAGACCAACTTGTTGAACAGCTGAAAGAGAAGGAAACCATGTTCAGGCATGGAAAGAAGTCAACAGCTCTGATGTGTGAAGAGGCAAGAGGGGACTTGTCCCCCAATAACACAGAAACGAAACTTCCATTACTTACATTGACAGCACCCAGCAACAACAGAGCGGGGCCGAGGCCCATAGTGTAGATGGCACGTAGGATGAGAGAGACCAGGAAGAACAGGATGCCCGACGGCTTGGGTAAGACTGGTAGGAGTGCTGTGAACACCACCAACGCCACCCACAGCGAGAGGTTCCAGAAGGGGGACAAGGTGCCTGGACGGAGGAATGAATCTTGAAATCAAGCTACCGCCCATCCGTGATCTAAAAAAGGTTTGCGGCATTTCGTCTAATGAATTATTCACCAGAGCTAAAAGCGTCACTTGGCGCTAACACAATCAGAGGCAACACTTTGAAATGACTGACATTAGTCCGTCGGGGAACCTCAACTTCATCACTGAAACCAGCCGGTTCCATTTGCACCGTAAACCACAGAAGCGCAGCGCTCTGTGGGAAATTGCAGCGTCCTGATGATTTATTGATTAAAAGGGAGGTAAAACTTTTGCGAGTAAAGAAAAAAAACAAGCCTATGAAGAACAACGAAACGCATAATATATCACTGCTCCATCTTGAGCATCTTGAGTTCTATGAAGCTGCACTCCAGCAGAGTACGAATAGGCATGAGAGGAAATAAAAACCATTCTAAATGCCATAAGCACTAAGAAGGACGTCATAACTTGTAACTATCAACAGCATACATAAAAAGTATGCTATGGGTTGATCTTCTCCCTCCAACATGGGTGTAAGCACCATGGTGATCTAGACAAGGCGACTGTCTTTCATATGTGAGGAAACATCTGGCTTGAGTTAAACATGGTTCTCACGTGAAGTAGTCTTTGAGAAAACAAAAGTCTTCACCATTGACAAAGTCATTTCCCAGCAAGACGGTGACCTACCAGAACCGTACATCTGGAAAGGCTTTTTGCACCCTCAAAAAGATAAATACAAAAAAAAAAGAAAGAAAATTCTCACCCTCATCTCCATCGTCGCCAAAGGGGTAGAATACGGCCACTGCGATGTTGAGCAGACAGGCTAGGTAGAAGGAGATGCTCCCCCAAACAGAGATGTGTCGTGAGAACCAGAACAGGGCCTTATTTCCTGCACAAACAGAAGAGGAAGCATAAGTACAGGGACACAAAACGCATGAACATGCTGCAGGCTGCATATCAATTCATTCTGGGAACAACAACGGCAGGACACCGCGGATGATCATCACGATTTACCACCCTGCAGCCGGCTTCAGCCGCCACAGTCGTTATTTTTCCCCCAAAGCGCGGCGTTCGGAATGTAGACTTACTGCGGATCTTCTTCTGCCACCTCATCTCGTTGTAGAGGTTGTCAAACTGCTGGAAGAAGTCGTTAACCTTGCTGCCCTGGTCGTCTCGCTCGGTGGTGGTGAACACGCGCACCATGGACTCCTCCGTGAGGTACTCGCAGATGTTGGGGACCGGAAACACGATCTGCTCCATGGTGCGGTCGTGACGCACGATCTGACAAATACGCGCCATTACGGGTTGGTAGGGAGAAACGTGCATGAGCCGGGTGTTTGAAGTCGTAGAGATTCAGGCGATAAACGGAGGGAAGTGACGGTGAGGTTTACCTCGATCTGGGCCGTGTGATTGGCGTAGTAATGCACCGCCTCGTCCTCCTCGTTGTCGGGGTCCACACACGACCCCCGGGCCAAACCCCAATTCAGGCTCTGCTGCAGGATCTTATTGTGTCGGGCCAGCTGGGATTCAAAAGCAAAATCATGGCAAGATTGGTTTCAATAACCACAGAATAAGTGAATCTACTTCCAAACAGGATAAACTAACTGCGTACATCACAGACCAAGAGACCATTACCCTATAAAGTAAGAATACACAATACAAATGTGAAGAGCAGTTTACGGTCTGCTTTTCCTTGGACTGTTTATCATTCAGACTTGTTTATTTACTTATTCACCATCTTATCAGATTACAGTGAATGGCCCTGGGGAGCGAATACCAGATAATGTCAGATAAAAGATGCTTGATAAGCTCAAGTCTGTCATCACTGGGTCTTTGACCGAATCGAAAAGGATTTTAAAAATAACGTCCAATAAACCATCCATGTCATGGTAAAGTAGTCCCTTGTTTAGAAAAAACAGTTTGTCAGTTGGGAAGGGCCACTCTTTAGAGCAAAATGTCACACTGCAGAGACAAGATGAAATTACTTTTTCGGTGTCACAACACATCCATCTCATTTCCTTACAGAGGACACATGTGTAATGCAGCGACTGAACATCTACAGTCCACCTGTCTGCAGAACCACATCCTTTGAGCTCCTTCTAGAATCGTGCAGAGCGTTTCACGCGCGTGTGCGGTCACGATGGGGGCTGACGAAGAGCAAAGGCTGTAACGCCACTGGCATCGTCCTCACCTGGTGCGCCAGGATGTAAATGTTGTGCCCGACGTCTCTGGGCTTTATCCGGTCGCCAACACTGTCCTCATCGTCCTCACACTCGATACCTTGGGCATAGGCTTCCTTCATGACATCCACCTGATGCACAAAAAGTATGAAAGGTGCTCCCACTACTTAGTGTTACTTTTAACCCGGGATTACATGACTCGGCTGCGGTCCTTTACATGCTGCCACGCTTACCAGTTCGGTGGGTCTCATCTTGTAGAGAATCTTCTCTGCGTTCTCGCTGTCATGGCGACTCTCCATGATGGCCAGTAGCAGTTTGGAGGCATTGTTCTACAACACACAGCTTCACCAATGAGCCATTACATTCTGGTCGACCCACAGAGGTAAGCGATTCGGAGACTAATGACTCGAATTAGCAGAATTAAACCATTTGAAAGTTGTCGTTTTTATTGTGGAGTTTTAGGATTGCAAAGTTCAGTGGCCTAAACAGCCAAGTAGAATATGTAGCCAACAAACATAAGCCATCACATGGAGCTCTAAAGGATAACAGGTCTCCACTAAAACATGACCCTTTTTGACATCTTCCTCCCTTTTTTCTTAAAAATCACCGGGAAGGAGGTCAAACCCCCACCGGTCATCTTGTGCCAAGTCTGTTGGGCTATACGGTCATTTCTAGTATAAAAGCAAACCGCTTGTCTGCAGTAAAGGCTTTCAAGGCCTCGTGCGTCACAGCGAGTCACCTGCTGCTCACCTTGAGCTCAAGCACAAGGTCCAGTCGATGCTTCTCCAGGGGGTTGATGGAGTTCACAATCAGAGCTATAATTATATCAATGCCGTTTGACTCATGCTTGGCTATGCAGCTCTGGGGAAATGAGAGGATAAAAGGGCATAGTTAGAGTGAATGCACCTCAGATAAGACCAAAACAGGTCAGAAGAACAGTCAACTGCAAACTAACCGATCCTCCACCTACCTGGTTTTCATGGCAGGGTCCTTGGGAGTACTCGGTGATGGTTTCCAGGGTTTGCCGAACCAAGCCCACATTATTCTCGTTAATGTAAAGGCCCAGTAGGCCGAGGCCGCCAGTCGTGCTTCCACAAATACAGTCCAGGAACTGAAGAGTCTCACACACCAGATTGTAGTTGGTCTTGTTGGACTGGTTGCGCAGAAAGTTCTGGATTCATAGCAGAAAAGCAGTTAATCAGCCGTCGATTTAGGAGCTACTTGTACCTCGAGGTTCATTCTGTAAAAAAAAAAAAGGGGGCCGGTACCTGCAGGTCTGTATTGTGGTTCTCACACAGCAGCTGAAGGAAACGTAGGATTGGTTTCATGATGGTGATGGCGTGGCTCATCGGAGTTTCTTCCAAAGCATCTTCTGCCCCAACCAGCTCACTGCTCTGACCGAGGCCGTCGAGGTCGGGGTCCAGCTCCTTTCTGTAGGCGCAGAAGGCCTTTGAGGTGACTGAGGAGGCCTCCTTTAGCTGCCCTCGCATGTCCTCCCTTATATGCAAAGAGTCTCTCTCTAGACCACAACGAGTAGAAAAAAAAAAAAAAAACAATAAAAATGACTACTGCTTTTTTTATTATTGGACAGCACTGCAATATTTAAAAGAAAAAAATGACTTTGTAAATGGACGGATGAAAACATGCAAAAGGTTACACAGAAACGTATCAGCT